AACTTTGGGAATTGAAATTAACAAACCAAAAAACAAAATGTTCATCATCAGGGAAATGAAGAAAGAGGTATAGGGAAATATTTATTTGGGTTGTTATGACAACAGAACAAGCCATCACAACAACATTCTTTCTTTTCCATCTATCAAACTTTGACTTGACAGACCCTTAAGAAACACTCAATGTCCACCCTAAAGATGAAACAGAGCAAAAATGTTATTCTAAACTTGACAGATTTTTGGCTCAACTTAAAACCCTTTTATAACTCATACAATATTTGCCACAACTCCCTGCTATTTCCTCTTGCACTTGCAGTGGGCAGACTCACTAGCAATAAGTAAATAAATTGCGTGGTGGGGGGAGGTTATTGGGGGCAGTGACTACAGGCCTGAAGCAGGCTAACGTCCACACTGGGATGTCACAGGGCGACTCACTGAGTTTGTGACATGTCCTGTTCTTGTGCCGTTCTGTCGTCTCGCAAAGATTGGGGCTACAGACGGAAACTGGAAGAATGAGGAGGCTTGCTTCCACTTCGAGCTCATCAGGGCTAGGAATTGGGGCACATGCAGAATGTAGAGACTGTTCCAGGTGATGAGGATGAGGCATCAGCTGGAACTTGTGCTGAAGGCTTTCTTCATAGACTCTTCTGGGTCAGACGACTTGCAGCCACTGTTCCGCAAGCCCTTGTTTGTCATGGGCTGGCCAAAGTTCCTTCAGTTCCCCGTGGCTATCTTCCCACAAATCACACAGACTAGGGGGACGCCGATCCCTCCCAGAGGAACACCTGGTGTGCAGAGCAGCCGGAGAAGAGAAATGGGTTCTGGCTTTCTCACTCAGTAACTTCACACACACGAGGTTCTTTGGCGGAATCTCTGTGCTTTCATCATTGGCTAAGCCACTTTCTTCCAGGTAAGCCAGACTTCCCTGTACTGGCTTACTTGGCCTGTTAGAGGAGGGGGCACAACCGAGGGTCAGAGAGACCCAAAAAGAGAAGGCTGAACTGAGGCCCCCAGAAGTAGGCAGTTAAAGCTGCAAGAGGAGGTGCAGAAGATGCCCCCTACTTCAGAACACAGTCTAGAGCAGAAGCCTGGGAAGGCAATTTGGGTCTGAGAGTCCCAGGAGAGAGGATCCACAACATGGTGTGTATTCATCTTAACCCAAATAAGGTTAAGAGGGGCATTAAGAGCACTCACAGGGACCCCAGCATCTCACCACTGGGAAGTGCCCATGATGAGAATCACTCTAAGGGAGGCAGCAGTAGCAGGGTGCTATCTGGATGATTTCTATTGGATCAGATCACCTGGGAGAGGAGTGAGGACATGTGAGGCTGGGGAGACGGCTGGTTTTAGTGCTGACTTTCCCTCAGCACGTTCATAGAGTCACAGAGCATTTGAGCTGGAGGAGTCCTCCAGGAATGACATAGTCCACTCCCCCATCTCACAGCTGGGCAGATGAAGTAGTGTCCCCTGGGGCACTTTGGAAAGCACAGGACGCCTGAGGGGATGAGTCCTGAGTCAGGAATGGGGGGCTTAGCAGGTTCTTGACCAGGATGGCTGAGAGGGCAGGCACCAAGGAGCACAGCCCAGGAGGCCCGGAGAACTCTGGCCCATGGAGTCAGAGAATTTCAGAGCTGGGAAAGAATTTGGGGGTCACCCAGTCCCACCTACCTCACTGGGGCCCTGGCTGGAAGATGAAGGCCATAAGGGAGAGAGAAAAGCACAGACGTCTTAGCTTCCTCAGGAGGCAATTCTGGCCTGACTGCCAAAGACAAAGGGGGTTCTAGTGGCATGTTTTTAAAAACTTTCCTTATATGTTTCTGGAGACACGGCCATAGACCACTGCGGCCTGATCCTCCTTCCCTCTCATCTTCTCTGGAGCCAGGCTGCCTGTGTCTGAATCCCGCTCTCCCTCTAACTGCTTCTTTGAGCAAAGTGACTTCACCTCGGTGTGCATTGTAGTTTCCTAATAATAGAACCCATCTGATTGAGTTGTCAAGAGCCTGAAAGAATACAGGTCAAACCCTCAGAGGAGCCAGGCCCGGGGGCGACACAGTCCAATGCTCCCTGCTCCAGGGGCTGCGATGTTGTTATTCTCATCAGGTTCCCTCACGCTGTTTCCTCCTTTTCCTGCCTCAGAGCTCTACAGGCCTTGATTTATTTATTTTCTCACCTCTTCAGGCCTGCATGGAACTAGTGTCGGGTGGAAAGATAATTTATTGGGCAAGAGAGAGAACACTTGGAGCCATTTGTTACAGGAACAGCACGAGCTGCCTTTGGGGACATGGAGACACCAGAGCTCCAGAAAGTCAGAGCTACCAGGGGCCTGGGCGCAGACAGCCCTTGTCTCATACATGAGGGGACCCTGGGCCAACAGCTGAGGATGTGCAGGCTTCCTCCCCACTCTGGGAAGGCAAGTGTGATAGCGAGGGATGTGCAAGTCTGAAAGGGGTAAAGAGTCTAAAACTGTAATTAAGGTATTTCACACACACACACAATGAAATTACTGTACCATGGCCTGGCTCTGGGCCTAAGGAGGGCACTAAAGTTGTCCACATTCCTGCTGCCTCTTCTCCCCTACAAAAATCCCATCTCCTCTGTGCCCCACAACTGGCCGCTGCTGCAAAAGAAAACACCCAGTGGGCACTACACGTCCACAGTGAGAACCACTTGCAGCAGCCACAGCTGGCATCTTATCCCTCTCGTGGATATTTGCTGTTTGAAAAGACTAAATGTCTAAGGGCAGAATGCTAGGCACCATGGAAGGTGGAGTGAGGAGAGAAACTCCAAAGTCCCTCCAATGAGACCACATGGGTGACAAAGCTGCCCCAGAGCAGGAGGAGGAGGGAACTGGGAGAACCTGCCAGGACCCAGCGATGGGGAAGGACCATTCACAGGGCTGGGCCCCCTTCATTTGCCTTTGTCTCTCATAACAGCAGCTCTGGGGGAGGGGCCGCCCCAGCCTCCCACCTGTCAACCCAGAAATCTGTCCAGGGACAAGGTAGAGGTGGCCAAGTCCCCTCCCGGACATCTTTGTCATAGGCATTTCCCAGTGTCCTGGTGCCCTGAGCCCCTGACACATCCCCTCTGCTGCTCTTCAGGGAGGCATGTGTCTTTGACAGGCTCCCCTCCCTTTCTGTTCTCACCTTCTCCTTTATTGTACTCAGAAGAGAAAAATAGATGATACTTTCTGTTCTCTTCCGTAGGGTGGCGTGGCGTGGGGCACTGCCCCTGACTGGTTTGCTTCTGTCCAACCACGCCCATCTCCTCAGACATTTTCTCAGGGTGGACCCTCCGGGAGCCTAACAGCTTTAACCCAGAAGCAAGCTCCTCAGGGGACTGGTCTGCCCCTCTCCACTCCTGGCGGGCACTAGGTTTCCTCGCCTGGGACTCCTTGCCTAGGCCTTTCTGAGAGGCATCACTTTCCCCTCCCCCAAAGTCAGGTCTGAGAATTCTACAGCATATGACGGTGGGGGCGTGGGGGGTGGAGTGGGGCTTCCAGAGAAGTTACCAGAGTGCTGATGAAATCCGATCCCGGCCACTGAAGGGTTATTACTCATCCTTAGCTTCCAGGGCCCCAATCTTGAGAACTCTCTCCTCCGAATTCCCCAGTGCCCAGGGAGCTTGGAGAGCTGCCCAGCACCCAGCACCAGCTGCAGGCGTAGAGACAGGGCCTGCTTCCTGAGCAGACTGAAGTGCACAGGGAGTACAATAACTAAGACATTAAAAGTGAACAGCCGACTAAACAGGGTGGGAGCAGGCTGGGAATCGCCAAGTGGCTGCTGTCCAGAGAGGAGCACCATCAAGGTGACCAGATGGGCTGCAGTGGGAGGAGAGGGCCGGCTTCCATTTCCCAGCACGCCTCCTGATGAGCTCCACGTTCATACACGTTGTCCTTTCCATTCTTTCCCTTTTCTTCTTCCTCCCTTTTGTTTTCCAGAGTTGAGAGTCATAGTTCCTCTCCAAACCACAGTTCTTCAGTTTTCATGTTTTTGGCATTTCTTCTTTCCAGATGGACTTCTCAGTTGGCCTCATCTGCTTCTCCTGGTTGGCTGGCCCTTCTCAGCCCTTCCTGGAGTTGCAGCCACCACTCGTGCTTCTGTGCCCTCAGTTCCAAAGCGAAGAAGGCTCTGCTTCAGTATTTTGAAATGATGAAAATGCCAGAAATTCTTTTTTTTTTTTTTAAGTTCAGAATTAAGCCAAATCCCTATCTGCATCTCCTTCCAGATCTTCCTTGATTTGTGACCTGGGCTTTCCAAGTCACTGAATGTGACCATTCGGATGTGGGTGGCAGTGAGCGTGTGTGGGATTCTGTGTGATTTATTTTAATACTGAGAGGAAGGGCTGCCTTTAGGATGCATCTGTGCTCTTTAGCACAGCCCCTCAGCCCTTCTGTGAACTGGCCTTGTCCACCTCTGCCGGCTCCTCGCTCCCACTCGGCTTTCCTCTCTCTGCTCAGCCACAGTGAACAGCTTTGCAGTTCCTGAAGGTGATGCTCTCAGCCTCCCCTTCTCCTCGTCTTTGTACAGACAGCTCCTTTCGCCTGGAATGTGCTTCTATCTGCTCTTCATCATAAGACTCAGGGGGATCTCACCTTCCCTGGGAATGAGCACCCTCCTCGGTCTCCAGAATGCACTGCCTCTAGGAGGCCTTTACAACATGATACTGGGTGGTCTGCGGGGTTCCCCCCACTGGACTGAGAACTCTTTGAGGACAACTCTATGTCTTTTACTCATGTGTGCCTAGCACATGGTAGAGTGCCCAGCACTGAGCAGAATGAGTGAAAAGTAGGCCAAATACCGGATAAGTGGTACACAGAAGGGCAGGCTTACTTCATTTTACACAACGGGTGTGCCTTACAAACCTCCAGTCTTAGTGGCCCGCTGACTCACATCTTACCTCAGAGGAGCTTCCTCCGCAATCCTAGACAATCACCTGCCCTACAGATTCCAGACAGTCCAAGATTGTCCTTCAAACACTTGAGCAGAAGTAGCCAAGGTTGGTACCTGAGCTTGTCTGCGATGAAGATGACCCTCCTTTCCAGAAGCAGGGAGGCAAAAACACAGAGCAGGTGGCGGACGCTGAGAGAGGAGAAGAGAGACTCGAAGTCCACGTGTTCGAGCCGGGAGTCCAGCGGGCGGCACAGTTCAATCACCTGCCAGGGAACAGGAGCAGCCATGAGGAGGGGCCCCGCCTGCTCAGCCAGGCCTCTCACAGACATCACAGGCCTGGGGTGCTGAGGTCCTCAGCAGGGGTGGCCCATTGGCACAGAAAAGGGAAAGAAAAAAAGGAAAACAAAAAGGATTGGGGAAAAGAAAGATCCTGGGGAAGGGGTAGTAGGGACTCAGTCTCATAGTTGAGCATGAGGACAGTTCAGATGGAGGTGGGGAGAGAGGATGGCAGAATCAATGGCCCTTGGCCCAAAATGGTTGGAGGCTCTCCCTGGCAATGACATATCTGGACTCCCCAAGGGAGTTCTATGACCCATGAAAATGTCCTATCCCTTAGAGCCCCCCAGGAAAGTGTCTGTGTCTCACAAGGGAATATTACCTACTGGAATGGAATCGCAGGCTCACACAAGAGGACCAGCAGATCGCAGCAGCACTTACAAGACTCACCTCCTCTAGAAGGTGTTTCTTATTGAACCCAGCCCCATTCCAATCCCTTCCTGATGACGTGTCTTCAGCTTGTATGCTCAATGTGCATATCTTCTCATTCTGTACTTGTTGAAATGTTCCTAAATTCATCTCACATCACTACTCACGTGCACATTTTTCTCTTTCAATAGGTGGCTCCTTCCTGGTGAGCGGAGACTGGCTTTTACTCTCAGCACAGCACTTGCCCAGTGCTGCCCACACAGTGGGGCTCACTAACGGTAACATCCCCATGGCCAAGCTACCTGCATCTGGTATGGGATGGTTTAAGGTTCTCCAGCGACAAGGAGAGTGTTCCTCTCCGTGCTGGGAAACTGGGTTGTTCCAGAATGTCCCAGACCCATGCTCATCCGTCCCCTGTCTCCAGAGGTGACCTGCTTTTCCAAGGGCCTTTGGAACTGGAGACTCAAGGCTCAACGGGATCTGCCTTCTGAGGTCCACAGAGTCACATAACTGGAATGGGAAGGATGAAAACAAGCTCCTGCACCAAATCCCAGTCCAGCCCAGGAAAGGGACATGCTTCAAAGTCTTGGATGAACAAAAAGTAGTACCTGAGCCTGTCTTCCCTGAAAAGAATCTGTTTTACACTATAAGGTTATAGAAGTGATGCAGACCACAAACATAAAAAGGTTCAAATACAATTTATGAAGGTAATGGGCTATTAAGAGAAGTTAAGGATGTTCCGTGCAGGTCCCTAACCTGCGAGGCCAACATCATGTGAAGAAACACCACGCAGTGCCATGGCATAGTTCTGGGGGTTGCTCCTTGGCCCAGAATCGACTGAACTTAGGGTGGAATTTATGAGGCTCTCATAGATGAGTGATCTGGGCCAGCCTGAAGAGCAAGAGGACATCACTGAATGTGAAAGCCCACCAAAAGCCAGCGCCTCGGACCACTGGGACTTGGCTGTCTGGGCCACTCCCCCACCTAGGACAGGAAAGGAACCTGACAGCCTACCTCAGTTCCTGATCCTGGCAAGAAGTTCTTGACAGTGATGGTTTTTCCCAGGGCTGGGAAAGGGGCTTCCATGACACTCCTCATGAGGGGCTGCACCAGAGCGGGAGAGATGCCTCGTCGTTTTTCCACCTCATCCAAGATCTGCAAGGATCAGAAAAGCCGCTCAGCTACTCTGAAGTCAGGTCACCAAGGGGTCACTCTGTTGCAGATGAAGTGGGCCTGCCACAATGATTGAAGAATTAGGGGGAGCCCTGCTGTCCTCTTCAGGCCAAGCTTACTGTCTCTTTCACCCTAAGCGTCATGGCCCAATTCTCCCCTCTACATAACCACTCTCTTTGCCACGGGACTTTGCAGTTTCTCCTACTAAAGGGTGAAGTACCGTTCCTTGCCCCCTTGACTTTGAAAACTGTCCTATTTGTCACATGAGTTTGGCCATGTGACCTAATGGACTAATGTATGCATTCTCAATGGGAGCAATATTGCCTCCAAGGGGGTAAAAATTGCTTTTTGGGGGTAGTGGTGAAAAAACTTAGATATTATAATGGTTTGTAGCCTTCTAAGGGGCCACAGTACATAAACAGATATGTGGGATATCCATGGAATTAATTCTCTGGGGGGTAGCCATTAGGGAAATGTAAACCAAAACCACAATGAAATACCAACTCACACCCATTAGGATGGCTATAAGAAAAGAACAGATAACAAGGGGCCAGCCCCGTGGCTTGGCGGTTAAGTGCGCGTGCTCCGCTGCTGACGGCCCCGGGTTCGCATCCTGGGCGCGCACCGACGCACCGCTTCACCGGCCATGCCGAGGCCGCGTCCCACATACAGCAGCTAGAAGGATGTGCAGCTGTGACATGCAACTATCTACTGCGGCTTTGGGGGGAAAAAATAAATAAAAATAAAATCTTAAAAAAAAAAGAAAAGAACAGATAACAAGCGTTGGTGAGGAAGTGGAGAAATTGGAGCCTCATACACTGCTGGTGTGAACATAAAATAATGAAGCCCCTTTGGAAAATACTCTGGCAGTTCCTCAAAAGGTTAAACAGAGAGTTACCATATGACTCCGCAATTCCATTCCTAGATATTTACCCAAGAGAAATGAAAACTTATGTTCACACAAAAACTTGTACATTAATGTTCACAGCAGCATTATTAATAACAGCCAAAAAGTGGAAACAACCTAAATGTCCATCAACTGATGAATTAATAAACAAAATGTGATATCCATATAATGGAATATTATTCAGCCATAAAAAGGAATGAAATACTGATACATGCTACAACATGGATGAACCTGGAATACATTATGCTAAGTGAAAGAAGCCAGTCACATAAGGCCACATATAACGGCCTTTTATGATTCCACTTAGATGAAATGTCCAAAATAGGCAAATCCATAGAGACAGAAAGCAGACTGGAGGTTGTCTAGGGTTGGGAAGTGACTTCTAATGGGTATAGAGTTTCCTGTTGGGGTGACGAAAATGGCCTAAAATTGTGTTGAGGATTGTACACCTCTGTGAATATGCTAAAAGCCATTGAGTTGTATATTTTATTTTGTGAGGAGGACTAGCCCTGAGTTAACATCCAATGCCAATCCTCCTCTTTTTGTTGAGGAAGATTGGCCCTGGGCTAACATCCCTGCCCACCTTCCTCTACTTTATATGGGACGCCGCCACAGCATGGCTTGACAAATGGTGCGTTGGTGCACGCCTGGGATCCGAACCGGCGAACCCCGGGCTGCCGAAGCAGAGCAGGCGAACTTAACTGCTACACCACCAGGCTGGCCCCAAGTTGTATATTTTAAATGGGTGAATTGTATGGTATGTGAATTTATCTCAATAAAACTGTTACTAAAAAAGAAAAAAATCCAAATGCAAGATCCTCCACAATCTAGTTATAAATCAAAGAATTTAAATAAAAATGCCATTTATAATAATATCACATGTAGCTTTTGAGCCCTTGAAATATGGCTAGTCTGAATTGAGACGTGTTGTAAGTACAAAATACTCAGTAGATTTCAAAATACAAAATTAAGAATGTAAAATATCAATGACTTTTCATATTTCAACATGTTGAAATGATAATATTTTGGATGTATTGGGTTAAATAAAATTTATCACTAAAAAGACAGTAAGGAAGTTGCTGAAAAAATTAAACATAGAATTACCATATGATCCAGCAATTCCACTTCTGGAATTAAAAGCAGGGATTCAAACAGATATTTGTATACCCATGTTCAAAGCAGCATAATTCACAATAGCCAAAAGGTGGAAACAACCCATCAATGGATAAATGGATAAACAAAATGTAGTATATACATACAATGGAATATTACTCAGCCTTAAAAAGAAGGAAATTCTGACACATTCTACAGCATTGATAAACTTTGAGGAAACTATGCTAAGTGAAAGAAGCCAGACACAAAAGGACAAATACTGTATGATTCCACTTACATGAGATCCTAGAGTAGTCGAATTCATAGAGACAGAAAGTAGAATGGTGGGTGCCAGGGGCTTGGGGAGGAGGGAATAGGGAGTTAGTGTTTAATGGGTGCAGAGTTTTAGTTCGGGGAGATGAAAAAGATCTGGAGATGGATGGTGGTAATGTTTGCACAAAAATGTGAATGAACAGAGTGCCACTGAACTGTGCACTTAAAAACGGTAAATTTTATGTATATTTTAGCACAATAAAAAGAAAATAATATGACCAAAAAAAGAATTTCATGGGGTGGGGGAGGCAATTAAGAGGAAAAAAATCTAAAAGGGCTGCTTGGGGAGCAATAATGAAAAAAAGGTTGAGGAACACTGAGACAGAAGTGACAGTGTGCCAGATGTAAGCCCAGGCCTTAGGAGGCCTGCCTTATGTGTTTCTGCTTGCCCTCTTGTGCCTGTGCCATCGCCACCAGAAGAGCACGCATGGGTCAGCTCACTGTCTAAGGAGGATGACAGATAAGTGGACCAGCCTCAGACTCAGACATGCAGCCTAAAGCAGAGACCAGCCAGCCTAGATAAGCCACTCCCAGCCTACCTGCAACACGTGAATGGGCCAGTGGAGATGAGCAGAGCTGAACCCCAGCTGACCTGCTCATCGGTGAGAGTAAATGATTGCCGTTTTAAGCCACTGTGGTTTGTTACACAGCATTACTGTAGCAATATTTAATGATATACCTTTCTTCAGAGATTCTGAGAGCTGTTCTTACTAAAGGACAATTTGCCATTTTAGTCACCCTGTCCCACACCCGGACACAGCTCGAGTTCCAGGGATCAGTTAGCCAAAGCTCCGTTGCTGCTTCCATCCTGAGTATCTGCTGTGGGGTCTTTGGCAAGTCATCATACTACACTCCTAAAATATCCCCGGTCACAAAACTGACATAAAATCACAGGATTGTGCATCACACAAGTATGTTAGCACATTTCCTTGCGCTGCGTCCCCTGCCCATGACATAGCAATGAAGCATATGTGAGCTCCAAAGCTACACTGGATGCTGGGCTAACTCACACGACCTGTGTGTAGCTTTCATAAGCATTCTCCCAACAACAAAGGCTATGACCTACAACCTTATTTCCATGCTTAAACAAAACCGTGTGAAAGACTGGCATGAGCAGCAATGCCTACCTGTGCTAGAGCTTGTAAATGTCCAACTTTAATGCAGAATGATTACCACCTCGGTGGAGTGGATGTAAGAACGTGTCTCAGGTTACGTTGATATCATTAATTATTTCAAACAGACTTGCACAGAAGTTATAAGTTCTACTGTGGCAAGAGGTCACACTCTAAGAGTATAATTCAGACTTCCACTGAGTTCAGGCGGAGGGTGGGCAAGAGGCAGACTGCTTTTAGGAAGTGCTGCTTTACATCCATGGATTAGATGTGGGACATCAATTCTCCAAAAGAAAGCTCAGACTGAAATATGTGCTCAAGAAGGAATTAAAATAAATTTATGGATTAGATACTCATGTCTGGTTAATATAGGAAATGAATGTTGGATTATACCTAATTTTTGAGATTAGCATCATATAGGATAGCAATTATCTCCTATACACCAATCCAAAATAGTGGGGTGGATGGGCCAATTCAATATGGCAATTCCTATGTCTTGATGTATTGGCTCGTTTTCCCAAAAAGAAGACCAAATTACATTAAGATTTTGATAGATTTAGAGCACTATTACAATAATAAATCTCACACACACACAGCAGATATACACACACAACAAATATATACATAGATACATGTACATCCATCCCTCACAGTGGCCTTTTTGTCCAGCAAAAGCTAATATGACAAAAGACAAAGCTTAGAGGAAGAAAAGTAAAACACATGGAATATTCTGGGAAGAGCCTCTGCCCCTCCCATCCTCAACTACAATTACTTTCACTCTCTCCCCTTCCCCAGTTTCTGGGCCTTGACTTTCGTCAACTCTTATTTCCTATCCCAGTGATAAGAGAACAGAGGAGGCGATGAGGGGAGGAGGAGGAAGTGGGAAAGAAAATAGGTGGAGAATAAGATCATAAAAGTACCCAGAGTTGGAGGGTCTCCTGTCTCTTCCTGGCCCCTGCCTTGCCTTCCCTTCCTCCCTTCTCTGAGCCCAAGTCCTCACCTTGGAAAAGAGGCTGAAGCATCCCAGGCGGCTCACGATGCAGTAAACTTCAGGGAGACGCTTCCCTTTGCCACCAGGCTTTGGAGTGAAACACAACGAAATCATGAGTGTAAAAACCTCAGGGAAGGAAAGAACGCAAATGCTTTTGAGTGCCTACTGTGTGCCAGCTGTGTCCACATACCACACCTTTGGACAACCCAATGAAGTAAGTAGTTACCAATACCCCATTTCATAGGCAGAAGGCACTTCTGGCCATGTGGTATGTATTTTTTTATTCTCCTGAAAGAACCAAATCAAGGGTGTTGTGCACACAGTAGGTGCTCAATATGGCCTATGGACCATGCAGTAAGGAGGCTTAACTTGTTCACCCAAATCATTGTAGTTCCTTTTAAGGAGTTACCTTGAGAACATATGTTTATTATAACGATAAGTCCAAATGAGAACTCATTTCTGAGAATCCTTTTTGGAAACTGACTTTTAAGCTAATTTTCAAAACAAAAAGAAAATCAGGCTCAATACTTAAACTTTAAAGTAATTTTATCAACAAAAATTATTATCCCACTTAACTTTTTCAATTATCCATACTTTTTATTCAACAATTTATTTTAATTTTATTCAACAATTACTAATTAATTCAACAAATATTTATTGAACACCTATCTGCGCCATGCATTATTGTTGACTCTAAATTATATTAGCCGGTTTCTCAGACTAAAATAAACTCTCAGTGGAAAATGATTTGCCACTACTGCAGATTTTCACAAGAACGGGCCTCAAAAAGACAAGTTCTAAAATGTTTTGTCATGGTCATTTCATTGGAATAAGTTTCTGACTTAAAGGTGATTATTCTGAAGGAGACACTTGAATTATTTGCATCATGAACAATAAAACCATGCTTCATCTGCCCTTAGCAACTATTACGAATGTTCTCTCTAAGCTATTAAAAAGTCTGTTTAGCACATTTTATTAGAAAGGACATTTGGCCTAAGGAGAGAAAGGTCTTTTATTTGGCAGGGAAAACAATGGAGAAAGTATTTTCTTTCCAAAGGAGACACAGATATTGTTCCCATCTACCAGTAAGGCTCAGGAGGGCCCCAAATCGTCTTCCATGTTTTTAACTACCCTGATGAACTGCCACACCTCCTGTCCCTTCTTGCGTGGCATAAGGTCAATGAAACCTTAGGAAGCCAATGCTGGCTCTGCACAGAGCTCGTGCTGACTGAGAGCAGAATGTACTAACCAGCAGTCTTCGGCAGTAACCGAACCTTCTGCTCCCATCTTCTCCAGTTAAGACAAATGAGAATGTTTCACTGTGGTTGGGAAAACAAAAGTGCGTTACAAAGCAAAACAAAACGAAAGACACGTTGTGGTGAGCACCCAGGAGACATTCTGGAGGAGGCCGTCAAACAGGGCTGCTCCCTGTCTTGCTTGTCTGTCTCTGTGCTAGGACTCTGGTCACCTAGAGCTTTGGAATCTATGTCAGAGAGAGGGAGATCTGAAGTGTCACTGTGTCTAGAGAGGAAAGGAGGAATTTTTTTTCACCCTGAGCTCTTATGGATGGTATTCTGTCACCGGAGCCACCCCAGTGCACAACACACAGCAGTCATTCACTGGGCATCTATTGTGGCTACTGCTTTCACTGAGCTTGAGGGCGAGGTCGCTGATCTAGGGATGTGACTCCGTGAGGGAGCAGCTGAAGAGGGGGACAGTTCTGTACCCCTCTCAGAACTGCCCCTGGCGTGGCTCTCCTGGGGAACTGTCTGTTCAGAGCCACCTCGAGGCTTGGACTGTCCTTAAAGACTGCTGGGTCAACTTCAAGGAACACAGTGTCCCTCAAACACTTCGGATATGCAGCCTACAAGTTTGGTCAACTGCTGAAACATCTGTTAAAAAAAATGTTGGTATCTAACAACATGGGGTAAAGCAGAAATGTAAACTTAACCATACTCTGAGTAACAGCTGGAGGGGCTATTGAAGAAATGTGTCTGGAGCACTGGACAAGGATGGATGACAGGCAATGCTTCCCTGACTTTCCCTAGACTAAGAATTACCTTATCGCCCTTCACGTTGGCTTACGAAACAAACATATTCCCAGACTGAGTGGGAGGCCTGGGAATCTGTCTACTTAGCAAGGTGATTCTCATCATCAGGAAAGTTTTAAAAACACTGATAGGGGAAATCTCTAGGCTCAGGCTTAATAGGAGGACTGACTTATGAGGTGTGCTCTCTATGACCCCCTCTCCAGTTCTCGTCTTAGTCTGTAGGGATAGGAAGGGGAGATGCCAGCACATACCTGGTAAACTGCTGGACAGGAGTCCAATCCTTGGCATCAGGGAAACAGAACTGGGGGATAGCCTTCAGCTGGTCCTCAGCCTCTCTCATGAACTTGAAAGACCTTTCCAACTGCAGGGAGAAGAGCAAGAGAAGGTTGGAGAATAAACCTCTGAATAGGAGAGTGAGGCAGATGCTTGGCAAGACCACATCTCCCACCTACTCACAGTCGTGACCAACACCTTAACCTCCTCTCGTGGGAAGGGGTTGCGGCTCAGTCTGCTGGAGCCTTTTTTACCCATGGCAGTTCCAACTAGAATCTCGTGGGGTAAGTCAGGAGAAAAAAATGGTGTGTTTAAGAGAAATGTTCTCTACGCCTAAAATTCTGGAATATGAGCATTTTAATCAACAAGGAAAAACAGTCACAGCAATCCCTTCCAAATAGGAGACCCATGAATCTGCAAGGCAGAGCCTCAAATCCGGTCTTCTGATCCCTGGGCCCAGGCAACGATGCCCCTCCTCAATCAGGCAAAGATGTTTTACAACACTTCTTAGCAAATACATTCAGTTAAACTATACTACACAGTGAAATTCAAGAGAGGCCTTGAATATCAGAACTAGAAGAAAACTACATATCATCCATCTTTATTTTAGAGATAAAGAAATAAGCCCTGAGAAGTTAAGCAATTTGTCCATGATCACACAACTAGTATGGAATCTAGCTAGAAATAAAAATGATCTTAATCTCTAGTCTGCCTGTCTTTCTCTGATTTATCTGAGACATCACACACTGAATGAATATCATCTTACTTAAAAACAGAGTGAATAATAAAGTCTGATTTAGAGATTCTATTTAAAGCCACAACTTTGCTTATTTTGTGTATGAATAGGAATATGTGCTTTCAAAAAGCACCCCATTCTGGGGATCTGTTGCACATCAATGTGCGTGGAGTTGACAATATTGTACTGTACACTTGGAAACGTTGGGAGGGTGAATTGTATGTTATGCGGTTTTTTGCACAATTAAAAAAAAAGGCACTCTAGATGTAAGTTTGGAAAACAAAAAATAATAGTTTAAGGGCCACCTCGGTGGTGTAGTGGTTAAGTTTGCAAGCTCCACTTCGGTGGCCCAGAGTTCTCAGGTTCGGATCCCGGGCACGGACCGCTGCACCACTTGTCAAGCCATGCTGTGGCCGCATCCCACATAAAGTAGAGGAAGATGGGCACAGATGTTAGTCCAGGGCCAGTCTTCCTCAGCAAAAGGACGAGGATTGGCATTGGATGTTAACTCAGGGCTAATCTTCCTCACACACACAAAAATTATAATAGTTTATAAATTGGTACTTCTAAAGTGTTGGGAAGAATTGTTGGCTTTTTGTTGTTGTCATTGTTGATAGGTTTATACTTGCTAAATTTCCTTTATAAATAGTTAAAGAAAAATAAATTATGCTAAAATCACCTTTAGTAATTTGAAATATCAGATATTTGAAGCAAGTAGAGTCTGAGTTTCTAAAGTTAGGAAATTGTAATGTCTAATCTAAATTCTGTAGTATTTTCCATTAATTCCTTATTTGTTTCTCACAGCTTGCCACTGACCTCCACGTTAAACCAGCCTGGCAGACAGTTTCTGAAGTCTGCAGGCCAGCAGTCCCGTTGACTGCTTCACAGAGATCTGCAAGCCTTCCCAAGGCCCCCAAATGTCAGAGAGAGGAGTTCTCCGAAGAGAGATCCAAATGAATAAAGTACCGGGCTGATTGTTTTCAACTTTAAAATCCACTTCTAGTGTGATTCCCCTTAGGCTAGATCAAATTTAATTAAAGCTGCCACTAATATTAACGGTTGAGACAACTATCAATGAATGAAACATAGCTACCATTTACAGACTTAAAGCCAGTCATTCATTGTCCTTTAGTCTGTCTTCTTCAGAATAAATAGTCACTATTTCTTTTCTGTACAACGGTTCTCTCTTCCATCCATGATCCAGAAGATTCCAACTGGTCCTGGAACAGTTTTTGAGTTGGTAATTCACTAGCTCAGACTGTTGCCAAAGCAATAATTTTTGATTACTCTTGGATAGTCTCACAGAGAAGCAAATACTAGCTGGGTGTAGTTGTTGGAAGAAGTCATTAATCACCACAGAGCGAAGGACCCCAAACTATAAAGAATACCAAAGGAAGGACTAATGACATTTCTCCATGGCGGAAGCAGCATTAGAGAACTGAAGAGCAGGCCTTGTAGGGAAGCGATTTCCAGCACCTTTCATCACGGCCCAGTCACCATTTGGATGCACCACCCTCAGATTACATGCACGATACACACAAATATGTGTGTACACACACATGCCTACACACACTGTCATTAGCATATGAGTTATCAACCCACACATGCACATACATGCTCTTACATGCACACAAGCACATTTATAGGAAGTGGCACATAGAATTCTCTTACAAATACAACCAGTCAGAGACGGCTGGAAAGTATCCCAGTCTCCATGAACTGCCATAAAGATAACTGTGTGAAACATTTTAATGGAACATGGCAGGCGTGATCTTGTGTGTGAATATGGAGTGTAAACCTTGATTAAGGTGAATATGGGAGTGGGGGATAAAACTCACGAGAAAGAGTTAGAAAGGAGGAGAAAGGAGGAGAAAGAAGGAGAAAAAAGGTCCTTCTGACAGAGAGTGAGTGAAGGCAAGGAGATATAAAATAGCCTGGCAAAAATGCATATACAGAATGATCACCATAACATTAAAAATATGTATCTAAAGAAACACTGGCAGCAAAATACATTTCCAACAGAAGGAGAGTGGTTAAATAGGGTACACCCACATAACGGAGCATTATATAATTTAAAAAATGATGTTTCAGAATTTGCATTAAATACGTTTATAAATAACGATAGGTTTACAAAACATTATACAAAAATTATACAACGTACAATCCCAGTTTTGTAAGAAAATTATACTATGAGAAAAGACAGAAGAAAACAAAAAAATGCTAACAGTAATGATCTCTGTATAGTGGGATTATAGATGACCTTTTTATTTATACATTTCTGGATTAGTCCCCTTTTCAATAGTGACAATGCAACTTTCTACTCAAAAAGTTTTAATGTGGATGTCTAGGAGTCTGGAGATCTAGGTTGGAATCTACAAGCATTCAACAGATATGGTGATTCATTAATTAATTCATAAACTAATGCCTTTATTCCTGGAACATTGATTAAGCATTGCCCTGTGTACAACATTGTGCTGGGCCCTGAGGGGAGTAAGCAGGATAACAGGACAGTCCTTCGCACCTTGGTGCTCACTCTGTGATTCTCAGCTAACTGTGGGCATGCCGATAGTATTGGGGTTTTCAGGGGATTATCCCCAGAGGTCAGCTGGAGGAAGGTGAATACATGCCAGTTTGGAGGGCTAGTGCCTATGGTTTACTTATACGTAGTTTCTATCCTAAACTCCAAGGATAGGACTTGATTGCTGTGCTAGACCACTGTGGGCAGAACAGAAGGAAGGCTAGCCCAGGAAAGGAGGGGAGGGACAGCTGGGACCTAGGCCTTGGTAGATGCTGGGTTTATGCCTCAGTGGTGGCAGCAAAGGGAGGCCCTGAGGGGACCAGGACAGGAGCTCCCTCCCTTCTTCCCACCTCTAAGCATCCTCATTTTATGAGCTGTATGAAGAGTGTCACATTCTACCTTGTGAGTCTTTGTATCCTTATCTTACGCCCTCCCGTCAGAGTGTAAGCTCCCTGAGGACAGGAAACACATCTTGCTCATCTTTATAATCCCCCAGGACCAAGGAGAAAACAGCCTGAATGTAACAGGATCTCAGTAAATCCTGAATAAGAAAGTGGTAGAATATTTTTAATACTGATAACAAAGCCTGAGAATAATTTATATATTATTGGCCACGCCATTTCAGGCTTCATTGAATGCCATTTCATTTTAGGTGCCATGATTTGATACATGGTAAGCCAAATCCACATAGCCATGAACCATGTTAGAATACAATAGGATTCTCGTGCATGCACACACACAGAGGTACATAGTGCGCATACAGATGTTTAGCATGGACACAAACATGACACTCCTTAGGGAGAGTTGTGTGGCTTGACAGGAAAGAGGTTTCTAGGATAGGCTGGGAAGAGATGTGGCTGGATAAGGAGACGTGGAGGATGAAGAGGATGGTACAGTCAGCCCAGTGACCGACCACAGGAAGTGAGTAAGTATTTTTGTCCATACTTTGAGGCCTTGACTCTCACTTCCTGGGACCTCCCAAATAGCAGGAGTGTTTTCCATTGGATATACCCTAATTAGGACCCATTTTCAAGATGCTGGACACTAAGCATTCCTCAGACTCCCACACCTCCCTGAAACCATGAGCCCCCACAAGATTTTGGCAAGAATGCTGCAGTCCCCTGGCAGGCCACGGGGGCCTGGCCCGCCCTGTACCTTCAGAGGGAACTGCTGGGTGAGTTCTGGCACATATGCAGCCCCGGCCTGCTTCTTGTGCAATGATACAACCACGAAGTACTCGAAGAGCTGCCTCTCCTGGTACTCGATGAGCTCCCGGTCTAGTGATGGGTATCTTGGAGCCTGCTTCAGGCGTGACTTCACATTGACCAGGCGTTGGCTATGAGCTGGAGAGAGAGAGAGAGAGAGAGAGAGCCTGAAAATGACTCACTTTCCAATGTGGACTAGCACAGAGCTGCAACAGGTTATATAATTCTCAGCTCCAAGTACTTTTTCTAGTTCCAAAAAAGTGTTCCCACCTTAATAAATTAGTACAAAACTCTTTATTTGGGATCCTTGCCAAGGTCTGGGAGGAGCAACATTTGACAGGCTGCCAGGCTAATTGGGGTTCAGGAGCCTGGAACAAGGGGCCTCTGCTACACCATGGATTTGCTGTCTGGACTTGGGGCAGCAGCTCGAGAAGTCCTTGCCTTCCTCTGTCAGATGGGGTGGGGACACTGACTCCTCCCCTCACTCTTCTCCTTTATCTTTCAGTTTGTGGGATGTGACAAAATCCAGACCATAGAGCTTTTGGAGCTGTGAGCTTTGTAAACATCCCGCGTGATTCAACTGGCAGAGACCTGACTAACTCTAGAACTCCAACAACCTTCTCTCCTGCCACCAGTCTATGCGATGGAATGGACTTGCTTCATTCTAGAGGTGGCCGGGGAGCAGCTGGGCATTAGAGGCAAATGAGGCAGGGCCAATGAGTGGATGAGTCCCTACTGCCTCACTCAGCAGCCCTGGACTACAGCTTTCTTTGGCTTCCCCCGGGGGTCTGAGAAACTGAAAAACTCACTAAAGCCTAGACCTAGATCACCTAATTTTGACCCACAGGGACCAACTATTTCAGTGACTTCTTTTGACAGATGAGGAACTAGAGGCCCTGAGATCTTAAGTAATTTCCTCCACAACAGATAGCAATTTTAACAGTAGGGCAAGAGCCCCAGCTCTCAGGAGTCCCAGGCCAGCAGTGCTGTGCCTTACACAGGTCAGGAAGACACCTATGATGTAACCGGAAGGCACAGCAACAGGGACGTGTTACAACGTAGTGGGGTCTCTGGAGTAGAGCAGTAGGCTCGGTGAATGACCAGGCCATTATGGTCACACTCAGGACTGACTCACCCCTGAAACATTCCCCCCTTATGCTCCCCACATCCCCTCAAGACATTCACGCTTTGCCCAACAAGCTTGCGCAAGCAGGCTTCTGTCCTACTCATCACTTTAAGCAGGAAGGGCCATCCTTGTAGCTTCCCAGTCACCTGCATGCACCCTGCGCAGCAATTGGTCTTCTCACCTTTCAGCTTTTCCTCGGTGTCACTGTCAGACTCACTGTTCTCATCTGTCACTAGACAAACAAACAAAAAGAAGGAAAAAGTTGCAAATGTGAGTCCTAACGCAGGAAACTTTTTATATATGGTAACACAAATCCAAGATTTCTAGTTCAGAGGGGGTGTTTTCTTTTTGTCTATTTAAATGTAACAGACAAACCATGTCTTTTTGTCCAACTAAATGTATTTCCAAATTAATTTGGCTCTAGTTCAGATGGTACCTATATTTAAAAATACAGCAAAAGATAATGGACCCTTTTATGCATGCTGAGCAAAGAAGACTGCTCCCATGGTGAGGTCTGCACATGTGCCACTGACTGACCTGATGGAGGACAGCGAGAGAGGCCCAGAGGACAGGCCACCAGGCTGAGCTCTGGGCTCTTTGACTGTCCTGAGGACAGTGGGAGACGTTGACAAAGCACCAACTTGTTCCTCTCCTTGATGAGCCAATCCAAAATGACAGGAAGCCACTTCTGGGAAGAATCTGTTTTCAGATTCTCGTGGGAGGAGGGATGGTGGGGGGTTCTACCTTTTCCTGAGTTGCTCTCCGTTGACTGGGACAGCCTCTTCACCCGTTTCTTTCCTCTCCGCGCCTCATAAATGGCATTGATTCGCAACACCAGCTGCCAGACACCAGGAGGAGAAAAGCCAGTGTTAGCAGCCTCCTCCCCACGTGCAGCTAGGATTCCTTCGCTGCCCATTCTCTTCTAGGATGATGGAGGGCCAGGGAAAGGGGCGGGAGGAGATATTTCCCACTAGCCTACTGGTGTCTTTCAATCATTCATTTCTGCCAGATGGGAACGTGGCTGTCAAGAACACTAAAGGAGGCTGCCAGCCTCACTGATGTGCAGGCGGGTGTTGTCTAAATATGCTAATGAGTCCAGCTGAGACACAGAGGGAGATGATTTCATTGGCTAACGATGTGATGACTGCTCCCACTCTGATACTGCGATGCCACTGTGGTTTGGGAAGGCGCTTTTGCTCCCAAAACAAAACAAGAAAAGGAAGAAACAGCAAAAAAAGAAAAAGAAAGTTCCCAGGCAGAGCCCCTGCTGTGGGAACCACGCCAAGGAATGTCTGAGCAGCCCTGAGAGTGAAGGGAGCGGGGATTACGGTGAGCCTTGAGTCCTACCTCGGGACTGCACGAAATAGTGCCGTGCACCCAGCCCACTGCCCTTTCTGCAGTGAAACACTCTCTCCAGACTTGCCGAGGCCTTTCATGACGTCTCCTAGTGCCAAGCCACTCAGCAGACACCATCACTGAGAGGCACTCTCTCCAGGCTGACTATAGCAGAACGGTCTGGTGATCGAAGCCCAGGGTCACTTCCCACCAGGCTCTACAGCAGCCCCTGCAACTTTCAAAGGTGGAAGCTTCCTGGGTTCCACCAGGTTGGGAGAAAGGGAAGTCTACCCATGCATAGTTGAGGCAAACTAGTGATTTTAAAAGGTAACTGTGATGTAAACTGACTTGAAAAGTTTTAAATTCTTTTATGCATTGGGAAGAAGAGGAGAAGGGATGTGCTAGGGTAAACTGGATGGTAGGTACCCAGGTGGGCACAGTGGACTAGCTCTTGCCAATCCCCATCTCTGCCCAGATGAGCTCACCAGTTCCTCTTCACAAGTTGGAGCACTGGCCCGCCCAGGGAGGAGAGTGGCTTATTCTCAAGGTCTCCTTGTGGCGAGCCTGGGTCCTGTCCTTCTAGCTCTGCAGACTGTCACTGACACTGCCCTGCCATATCTCGGACACCTGCACACTCCAGCTCCTGACGGGTGGCCCGGCCCTGGCTTTGCCAGCTCTCTTCGTGAACTCCTCGTCCCTACCAATGAATCTGACCCGAATGAGGTCTCTGCTTTCACCACCAAATCCCTGCCACGTGGCAGTTATTTATATTTGCTCTTACAAACCAGCCATTTCCTTGAGAGCTCACACCCCTGAACTGCCCTTCTCATCTTTTCACACATGTTCTAACCATTGGGATATTAACGCTAACTCCATTTCCCATGGAAGAAGACATCACATAAATGAGTTGCTAGTACTCACAATAGCCAAGAGGTGGAAACAACCCAAATGTCCATTGAAGGATGAATGCATAAACAAAATGTGACATGCATATATGCAATGGAATATTATTCAGCCTTAAAAAGGAAGGAAATCCTGTCATATGCTCTAACATGGATGAACTTTGAGGATATTATGGGAAGTGAAATAAGCCAGTCACAAAAAAAATAAATATTGTATGATTCCACTTATATGAGGTACCTAGAGTAGGCAAATTCATAGAGACGGAAAGTAAAATGGTGGTTGTCAGGGGCTAGGGTAGAGGGAAACGGGGAGTCAGTGTTAATGGGTGCAGAGTTTGAGTTAGCAAGATGAAAAAGTTCTGGAGATGGATGGTGGTGATGGTTGCACAACAATGTGAACATAATTAATGCCACTGAACTGTACACTTAAAAATGGTTAAAATAGTTTTATGTGTATTTTACCACAACTTAAAAAATATAAATAAACAAACGAGTTGCTAGGTCAAAATGCTTTTTGGGGAGGAAGAAATCTTTAAACCCATTCAAAATCTCCCCCTAAAATATCTAAAAATAACTAGAAAGAAGACAATTATGATAGAGTTAACATCCTTCTACTTATTCAATTACAATGAACACTAGACTGTGAGCTGCAGGGGGCAGGGATTTTGGTTACTTCCGTTTACTGCTCTAACAGTACCTGTGTGGGATGGAACAGCACCTGGCACACAGGAAGTACTCAATAAATATTTGTTGATTGTGAATTTGTTGAATGAATACTAAGCATCTCCTATATGTAACGGATTTGCCTAGAAGCTGTGAGGGATAAGAAGATATACGGATGTGGCTCCTGTTCTCAGGGAGTCTAAAAGCTAACAGGGAGGACCAAGAAGCATTCATAACTATCACACAAGACAATTCATGAGTGCTGGGTGAATAGCATAAATAATGTGACAGAGAAGGGTTTTCTCACTTTAAACCAGGTTATGGAATAAGTGGAAGCCATATATACTTCAGTCAATAAATCTTTGTTTCTTTTTATTTAAAAAATTTTTCCCCAGAGAGAAAAACTTTAAACGTGCTTTCACATAATTGTACTTGTTAAAGTATCTCCTGTTAAGGAGATAAGTTTTGTTGTTTTAAAAGTGTTCTGTGCTAGAAATATTGACCTTTTTAGAAACTTTTTTTAAGTTGAAATAAATATTTTTAACTATAAGCTCATTTGAAAGATTGTCTATTTCAAGCATGGGGACTATCGTTAATAATCCTGTATTGCATATTTGAAAGTTGCTAAGAGAGTAAATCTTAAAAGTTCTGATCACAAGAGAAAAATTTTTGTAAGTATATATGGTGACGGACATTAACTAGACTAATTGTGGTGATCACTTCACAATATACACAAATATCAAATCATTATGTGTACACCTGAAACTAATATAACGTTGTGTGTCAACTATACCTCAATTTAGAAAAAAAAGAGAGTCTGTTTCAAAGAGTCATCTGGTATCTAATTCTGCCTGTGGCAGTTGCTGAAGAAACAATGGATTTCACACAAACCTGCTACAGTGTGCCGCGAGGGAGGCAGGATGTGAGAGTGGGCTGAGCTGCTTCTCATTATAAAAGACATCACACTGTCTCTTGAATCCTGAGGACAGCACAGTGCTGTGTAATTAACTGCTCTATTTCAGTTGCCATATTAATGAAGACCATGATTGCTAGGAGAACACAGAGAAGGACTGTCTTTTCCTCTCTCCTCTCCTCCACTGGGACTCTCATTCCTCTCAGGGCTAAAGCAGGGAGAGAGCAAGGGAAGCATCCACATTGCCAAAAGGGACTCTAACAGCAGAGACAGCTTACAGAAAACCAAGCAACCTGCTGTCTGAGAGTTGTGAGTAGCCCATTAAGTCCACCTTGCTAGATAAAAACACAAAAGCAAGGTTTGGATAGCAAATGGTTTAAGGTTCCAGAACATGCAAGTCATGAATGTGCCTAGCATAGAACCTTTGACTTCAAGTAAAGGACTCAGAGCATTCTGAAAGAAAGAAACACAGTATTCAAGAGGGGATAAACCTGGGGTAAGATTAAGTAACAAGTGATAAAACTGAGGATTAATGAGACTAACTGTAATTAGTCATTTGTTTTCTTTTAAAATGTTTCTTTAAAGAATTGTGTACTGGACTCTGAGAGTAAGAATTCCTGTTCTAAAACTTCCTGTAAGAAGCTGGTACCAAACTCGCAAATGAAGAATGACCAGGGGGCCAGCCTGTTGGCGCAGTGGTTAAGAGCGCACGCTCCACTTTGGCGGCCTGGGGTTCGCAGGTTCGGATCCCGGGCATGCACCGACGCACTGCTTGTCAAGCCATGCTGTGGCGGCGTCCCATATAAAGTAGAGGAAGATGGGCACAGATGTTAGCCCAGGGCTGGTCTTCCTCAGCGGAAAAAAAAACAGGAGGATTGGCAACAGATGTTAGCTCAGGGCTAGTCTTCCTCACAAAAAAGAAAAGAAAAGAAAAAGGAATGACCAGCGCTGCAGGGCTGGAACTGAGCAAAAGGAAATTTAATCATTAGCAGACACATGAGGACGCACATCCAAGCCATTGGGCATGTTTTACCTTTTGGACCAAAAAGAGCCAGGAAAGACTTTTTTTTTTCTGAGGAAGATTAGCCTTGAGCTAACATTTGTTGCCAATCCTCCTCTTTTTGCTGAGGAAGATTGGCCCTGGGCTAACATCCGTGCCCATCTTCCTCTACTTTATATATGGGACGCCTGCTACAGCATGGCTTGACAAGCGGAGCATATGTCCACACCTGGGATTCAAATCTGCAAACCCAGGGCCACCAAAGCAGAGTGCGTGAACTTAACCACTACGCCACCAGGCCGGCCGCTCTTCCTCCTTTTTTTGCTTGAGGAAGATTAGCCCTGAGCTAATATCTGTGCCAGTCTTCCTCCACGTTGTGTGTGGGTCACCACCACAGCATGGCTAAGAAGTGGTGTAGGTCTGCGCCCAGGATCTAAAGCAGAACGTGCCGAACTTAACCACTACACCACAGGGCTGGCCCCAGGAAAGATGATTTTTGACAAGTGCTGCCTCAGAGCATAGGCTCCACGTGGTGCCGCCTTTGCAGTGGGCGTTGACAGAGTCTGAGGCAGAGCGTGATGGATGGAGGTCTACTTTTTGAGGTCATGAAGGAGGAGGACGTAGCCTTTGGGGGCTGGGCACTGAAACATGGTCTGGGATCAGAAGTGTCGTTAAGGCTGGGAGAGGGCTGGCTAACAGGAAGGCTACAGGACCACAAGGATTATTATGACAAAGGCCCAGACATCCCAGCCTGCTGGCTTCACCGTATCCATCTGGCCTGTGAGGAAGCAGGCAGACGAGGGCCCAGTGATTTGTTCTCTGCCCAGACTCCTCAGCAGCCTTCCTTTGTAGGGCAGGGGGAGTGCGTATCTGAACATGAAGCTTGTTGCAAGCCTTACCTTGGGTATCTTTCTCTTCTTCCTGCCATTCTGTGGGTCTCCAAGGTTAAAGAAAGTGTCATCAGGGCTACTGGGGGTGGACGGGGGGCTGATTTTGGAAGGGGACCCAGTTCCGTCCCGACTCAGCTTCCTAGTGTCCAGCAGTTTGAAGTTTCTCCTCTCTGAATTTTGCCGGAAAAAAGCAGGTTTGGACAATGACTGCTGCGAGGGGAAGGGAGAAAAGAAGAGTAAATAACTACAAAGGGACTAACTGGAGATATTGGTGGTGCCAGTGATGGAGACCATGAGGTTGAGAAGGGAAGCTGGTCTACGTACCCTGGGTGTGTTGAGTTTATCTACATTAATAAGTGTTCAATAAACATCATCCAATTATGGGAAATTAGTATGATAAAGGATGCAGATCTAATTCATCTCTCTTTTTGGATAAGTGGGAATTCACCTGGCTCAATCCCTTACCTTTACAAATGAGGCTTTCTAGTAATCCAAGACACGCTGTACTGGGAGTTACAAGACCTGGGCCTAGCTTTGACTCTGCCGCTGGCAAGCTGCATGTCCCCTACACAAGGAATTTCACCTCTCTGGGCTTCAGGGTCTTATTCTAAAAACAAGCTGCTTTAAGGTCAAAGGCAAACAAAAAACTGGTAGAAAAATGTGCAACCTATAACATAGAAAAGAACTCATCTTTCTACTACATACTGCAAATTAATGAGAAAAAGACTAACAATTCAAAAAAAAAATAAGCGAAAGGTAAGAATGGAGAGTTTATAGAAAAGTTACAATGATTCTTAGATATATAAAAAGATTCTTAGCCTCACTCATATGAGAAAAGAAAATTAAAACTCCGTTGAAGAAATATTTTTCACTCAAAGATATAAAAATCTGATAACTTACTGTTCTGGTGAAAGTGAGGGAAAAAGGTGACTTTTACCTTCACATACTGTTGGTGGCACTGGAAACTGGTTGGAATGGAAATGGGTACAACTCTATGGAGGGCAATCTAGCAGTTCCAACATATGCCCTTTGACCCAGCAAGCCCACCTCTAGGAATTTACCCTGCTGATATACTTGTGCAGAGTTATACCGTACCAGGAAAGTTATATTGTGCAAAGTATATTGTACACTGTGTCACAGCTTATAAACACAAAATATATCCATCACTAGAGGCTGGTCAAATAATTATGGTACATCCATCCAGTAGAATACAATGCAGGTGTCAAAAAATCTTAATGTACTGATGTAGAAGGTTCTCTCAGATATATATTGCTAAGCATAAAAAGCAAGGTATAGAATAGTCGGTATAGTATGCTGATGTTTGTGTGTGTGTTTTAAGGAATAGTTCTGGAAGGATACACAAGAAACTAACAGTGGTTGCTCTAGGGGAGAGAAATAGAGGGATGTGGTGAGAGGAAGACTTTTCACTGAATACCTTTCATACTCCTTAAATTTTGAACCATACGAATGTATTAACTATTGACTAAAATAAGAAATATTGATAAAACAAAAGAACTACTTTCACTACATGTTTTCTAAAGTATATCCAGGACTCATATTTTATAATACTATAAATATAGTTGCAAAGTCTCTTTTTTAAAGTTAGTTACTGAATTAGATAAGGGTATATGAAGCATCTAGCAGAGGGACAGCTATACACTAGACATTAAATACAAGTCATTTCTCTTCCTTCCTCTTATGATATCGATATTTTTCATACTTTAATGTGCTAACTGCATTATTCTTTAGTATATTATGTTCTTTGCCTATTTATCTTTTGGGATCCTAGTGTTTTTCTTATGAATTTGGATGAGCTCTCTATATAAAACAGATATGAACTATTTGTCAGTTTTGCTGCAAGTATGTTTTTTCAGTGTGGTTTATTTGTGTTTTTATCTTGGTTATGTGGAATTTTTCACATAACATTTCTATATATGAAAATCTGCTCATCTTTTCCTTTGTGAGCAATTTCATCTTTGCCTAGAAAATCTATATCTTTTTAGAGGTTTAACAAATATTTAATTCCCTTTTCTACTGGATTTTCTTAGTTTATTTTGAACATATTTTATTCATTAATCCATCAGTAAGCTATTTTATTATATGCTACTCTAAATCGATTTTTTTCCAAGCTAACATTTCTATTCCACTTAATGAATGAGGCTTTCTTTCTCTATTAGTTTACCATAGAGACCATATTTATCACACCTTAAACTCTCATAGAATAGTCTTATTTTGTGCCATTGATTTATATATTCTTGTTTAGTTCCAAAGAGTTTGTAACAATAACTTCAGAACCTTTTCTTTGGAAAGATTTCCAGGAATAAAGACTTCTGGCCTTCCTAAGTGGCCAGCTCCAATGTTGTATCACGGGTCTACAGGGAGCAATTGCTTAGCAGCACAAGCCCTGAGTAGCAGCAGCAGCCAGCATGGTTTGCTCACTATGGGCATCTTAATAATTAAACTGGCAGAAGAAGAAGGAATAATGATGAGCCTTCTTAAGGACCAAATTCTACCCACAAAGAAATCTAAGGAAATGGCCCCAATTCTTTCACTGCATTGGAATCTCATATCAAATTGTTGGCAAAAAGCAGGTATCTGTTTTCATTAGACGTTTAGATTGTGATAGTGTTTGTTCAAATATCTGACCTACGAAAAGGTCTGAGAAGAAAGAAAACAGAGGGGCCAGCCTGGTGGCGCAAGCGGTTAGGTGCGCGTGCTCCACTGTGGTGGCCCGGGGTTCGCCGGTTCGGATCCAGGGCGCGCACCGATGCACTGCTTGGCAAGCCATGCTGTGGCGGCGTCCCATATAAAGTAGAAGAAGATGGGCATGGATGTTAGCCCAGGGCCAGTCTTCCTCAGCAAAAAAGAGGAGGATTGGCACTGGATGTTAGCTCAGGGCTGGTCCTCCTCACACACACAAAAAAAGAAAGAAAACAGAGAAGGAATCAAAACATAGCACACAACTTTCTAAATGGTGTCAAGAGACCTAGTCGAGGTTGTGTAGGGGCTGCATCTCCCAGTGGTCACACTGTTCCAGAAAGGGGCTCTGGGAACGTCCCAGAGCACCCAAAATAAGCCACCAAATGTCCAGGGAGCTTTCATGAGGGAGTGGAATTTCAGTAGCTACTTAACTGACAAAAACAGAAGACTTAGTGGGCTGTGGGGAGAGCATTCTCAAGTATATAGCACAATCTGAGAAGAGGCATAGAGGTAAGTATGAGCAAATCCGACCCAAGTCTTCATGGCTTAGAGTAGGTGCAGTGAAACAGATGGAAGAGATGATACAACAATGAGGACATCTAATTGTCTGTGGAAGGCCTTTGAAAGCGAGGGTATGAATCTTGGAATCTTAGCAGGGGTCAGCAAGCTTTTTCTTAAAGGCCAGAGAGTAGATATTTTAGGTTTTGTGGGCCATACTCTCTCTGTCACAACTTTCAACTCTGCCATTATAGTACAAAAGCAATCATAGACAATACATAAATGAGTGAACATGGTTACGTTCCAATAAAACTTTATTTATAAAATATCAGGTGACCAGTAGTTTGCCAAACCTAAACTACAGTATAAAAAGGAAGTCACTACAGGACCCTAAGGATGATTGTGTCAGACTGTGGTCCAGAGAAGATTCCAGCTTTTGATCAGAGAGTCTCACACCAGCCTGCCCTGATGATAATATGCCTAGTCCCACTGTGTCTCTGTGGAGTCACCTCAGGGGCCCAGCTCTATGGCAGAAGCACACATAGTCTCCCTAATCTTATAGATATTGGATTCACAATGGACATGACAAAAGATCTGCAGTGTCCAAGGGGAAAAGCAGACAAGGACCTTCTGTTGAAGCCTCTTGAGTTACTTCAGGGGACCAAGTGTGATGGGCCCTGGCCAGGGGACATCTTGGTGGGGAAGAGGGGGCTGCAAGGAAGCTATGTGCCTCCCCAGAGGGTACAGACCTGCACTCAAGCTGGGGTTGAGTCACCCTTCTTGTCTGTGAATGGTAGCTCCTTCTTGTCCTCTACTGTTCCTATCCTACTGCCTCAGGAGACATTGGCAGCAGGAGACTAAAAGGGTCCTTAATATAAAATATCCCATCTCTCCCTTACCTATCTCAACCTCATTCCTAGTCTCTTTTACAGAGGCCTCTCCCAAGAAGTACTCAAATGTCATTCACACGAACATACACATTCATTCATATATGCCCACAGGTACACATATTTACATGAATACACAGACACTCCCTTAAATACACATACATAGAAATACAAAGAAATGCATACACACACATTCCAACAATTGGGACATTACACTAATGTAATGTAATGACATTACATTAAAATGATGGAATATCATGCAGGCAATAAAAATTGTATTTAAAACAAAGTAATGACATGGAGAAATATTCATGATAAATATAAAAGAGCAGCAAAACTGTTTACATAATATTATCCCAAATCTTTTTTTAAACACACAGACACACACACACACACACACACACACACAGTGTGAGACAAACCAAAGTGTTAACAGTGGTTATCTTTGGGTGTTGGGATTACATGCAATTTTTAAAAAGACCTTTAAAATACACACACACATATATATACATACACACAATAACAATCTATTATAGAAAAAAACACAGGTGAGCATAAAGAAAAAATTAAAATCCCCAATTATGGATGTTTTATTTTCTTCATTACACTTTTTGGTATTTTTAAATTTTTTACAATGAGAATGTTCTATTTTCAGAAAATAAGGTTATTTTTAAAAAGAACACATTGAAAAGCATAATTCTATATATTTAGCAAACATAAATAAATAGTACTTATGTTGCAGGCACTGGTCTAAAGTGGTCTACAAGTATTAATTTGATTAATCTTCATAAGACCCCTTAAGAGGAGTATACTATTTTATCATTCCTATTTTACCAATGAAAAAACTGACGCATGTGGATGAGATCATTTGCCCAAAGTCACACAGCTAGCAAGTGGTCTAGGCACATTCTGAATGGAAGCAGTCAGGCTCTAGAACCTACACTCTTGACCAGACACTGCCCCTCTGCAGCTACAGCTAAGTGACACACGATTTGTTGGTGGGACATGGTGTGGGTGGGCTAATGGTACTAATGCTCGTTAGTAACACTTTTCTTCCCTTACGTGTCAATACATAAAAACGAGTATTGCATATTAGCCTAGATTTCCTTTATTATAAAAAATTAGTTTCTACCATATTCACTGTGCTGTTCCAGGTGTGGGAATGGTGGGTAACACACAGCAAGGAAAGAAAACGGCCCCTTCCCAGGGGCTTGCACTGTGTGTTTGTAAGCATCAGCATCTGCCCCAGCTGCACGTCTGCTCCTGTCTGAGAAAGTCTGTCTCACTGACCCTTACCCCTCTATTGAGACTAGGCACCATCTAATTAAATGAAAATCCCCAAAGATGTCTTAGGACCTTTCTGTGGCTGGTAGAGGAGGTCACCACAGAGGGATTGCTTCAGCAAGTTCTAGGGTCCCAGATGCAGCCCAGATGTGGCAGATGCTCCCTGAATATTTGCTGAGCTAAATGGAGGAAGCAGAGAAGTCCACAGCTGTCCCCCAGAATGGGAGCACAAACCAGACACCCAGAGGTGGGAGAGCAGAGGAATGAGCATGGACACAGCTTGCTGATGACTTGCAAAGGTCCAAAACAGCCTGCAAGTATCAGAAGCAATCAGCCATGTGCACTGGGCAACTGGATTATCCTTCTGCAGGATAGCTACCTCTGGACTTCAAGTTCTCATTGACCTGATTACCTACTATGTTTAGCTGTTTTGGGGACAGAAGACTTCGGTTTTCTCTAGCCCGGCAGGAAGGGGAAGAAAAGGGCTGTGGAGCCTTTATTTTCTGGTGTTAGGGAGGAGCACCCAGTTCTGGATGCAGAGCTGCTTTTGGCAGATGTTTCTCACTGTTCCTGAGAGGTGACGTGGTTCACTCCCCACATGAAATGGAGAGCAGGGTAGGACGTGAAGGGGACAGACTGGTTGTCACAGCTTGCCATCTTCTTCTAAGTCAGGCTTATCGACTAAATGTTGAAGACATCCATATTCCAATGAAAACACAAACAACACATTTCAACGGCAAGCAGAAACTGTTTTCTAATTACCGATTGTCATGGATTATTCAATGATGACACTCTTTACACAGGAGGAGAAAACAGCAGTTAATTGGTTTGGGCCAGTATTGTAGCAATTGACTTGGATCGGTAAGATCCACCCGTTAGGATAGGTTCTACCTTCAACTCTGTTCAGGAAGACCAGTGCAGAAAGATTCTCTTTGTGACCATCAAACACAAAAGGCATGCTTCGTGTGCAGATGCCACCTGCCAGCAAATGCCCACCTCACGTGGAGCCCAGAGAGGAAGATGGCTCTTTTCTTAGGCTGGAAACAGATCCTTACAATGGGATTTAAACTGACTCTTGCAGCCTGAATTTGGCCTCCTTTTATTTAATTTCTCCCACAACTAAACATTGTATAACAACCACTTATGGGAGACACAAAGAAACAGAATATATACTTTCTGACCTTGAGGAATTTACAATCTATTTGGGGAGATATTTTTAAGATATACAGTCACGCACCGAATAATAACATTTCGGTCAACAACGGACCACATATAAGATGGTGGTCCCATAAGATTAGTATCACAGAGCCTAGGTATCTAGGTTTGTGGAAGTACACTCTGTGATGTTCGCACAATGACAAAAGCAACTAATGATGCATTCCTTAGAATGTGTGCCCGTCGTTAAGCGATGCATACCATATTACATGACAAATCAGAATCCAAATCACTGAAGTAAGAGATGTCATAAAGCAGTATATACAATTTGGTGTGAAATGAATCTTTAGCCCACTGAGGCAAGCAGAGAGGAAGAAGTCCCAGGGGCTGGGATGGCCTGGAAGCTTCCTGAAGGAGGCATGATTGAGCTGGGCCTTAAAGGATGGGAAGAGAGAGGCAAGAGCCAAGGGCGGAGGCGGAAATGACCTAGCACAGAGGTGGGCAGATTACGGGCTGTGGGCCCCATCTGGCCCACCATCTGTTTTTGTACAGGCCATGAGCTAAGAATAGTTTTTATATTTTTAAATGGCTGAAAAAATAAACAATACTTCATGACACATGAAAATTATATAAAATTCAAATTTCAGTGTCCATAAATAAAGTTTCATTGGAACACAGCCTCACTGATTTGTTTGCATATTGCCTGTGCTGCTCTGCACTATAATGGCAGTGCTGAGTAGTGACAATAGAGACTGTATCTTTACTCTCTGGCTCTTTAGAGAAAAAGTTTGCTGATGCCTGATCCTAGTATCAGAGGGGCAGTTAGCAGGCTTTGGCTGAAGGGGAGCTTTTGTATGCAGGAATTGTGGGAAATTAGGTACTAATGAGAGCCCAGGGATCAATTATGGAGGATATTTAATGCCAAGCTAAGGAAGATGAATTCAGTTCTATACGCAATGGGTTGAAATTTCATGTATGTGAATATAGTTATATTATCTATATGCATATAGCACAAAACTCCAAAAGGTTCAAAGGATATTCTGCAAAAAATATCAGTCTTCTACCCTGACTTCCAGGCACTCAGACACTCAAGACAACCCCAGTGAGGTACCCACTCACTCACTCTTAGGTATCCTCACAGAGATATTCTTCTACATGCACAAACATATAAGAGTTTACAAAAGTGTATATTCTTTCATTAAAAAACCCACAAAGGGGCCGGCCTGGTGGCACAAGTGGTTAAGCGCACGTGCTCCGCTGCGGCGGCCCGCGGTTCGCCGGTTCGGATCCTGGGCGTGCACCGATGCATCGCTTGGCAAGGCATGCTGTGGCAGTGTCCCATACAAAGTGGAGGAAGATAGGCATGGATGTTAGCCCAGGGCCAGTCTTCCTCAGCAAAAAGAGGAGGATTGGCAGATG